GGAGGCAGGGATGGCAGATGGGGTATGGGGTATGGGGATGGGGTTTGGGTCGCCAAATATGCCTAGAGTGGCGGCCGCGTCAAATGTTTGTTGCTGGCCACGAGGCGTCGGCGGGGTGGCCGTGGCACTAGGAAAGCGTTGGGAAAAACACGAAAAAAACAAAACAAAAAACAAAAAACAAAGGCGAACCCAAAGCCCAAGTGATTAATTCAACATGCGAATATTCATATGTGTGTGCAGCACCCCAACCCAAACCCAAACCCCAACCGCCACAAATCCGAAACCGAACCAACACAATCTGCGTACCCGGGGCACGTCATGTAATGAGCAGAATTTCCAACCGAATTCGAGCCCAAAAAAGGAAACCCCAAAAAAGGAAGCGTAATAAACGAGGACGAGCGGACCAGGGTCAGTGAAAAATGAGCGGACGCGAAAGCGGCGCGGCGTCCGTCCGTCCTTTCCCCCTCGCCGCTCCACGACCGCAGCTACTTTCTAATTAAGCGCGCTTAGTTGTCGAGGGTTACGACGCGAGCTTGGGGCGAATGTGTGCGCCATGTGGTGGGCAGTGAGCAGTGGGCAGTGGGGAGGGGGGAGGGGGGAGCGGTTGGGGAAGGGTCGCCGCTGGTCAGCCGAGCCAGAACATGTCAGCGGCAGACTTTTGGGTGGTGCACACGCATGTCTAAAATATCTAAATCGCCGCTCTTGTTTATCTCCCGTTCATCCACGAGTGTGTGTGTGTGTGTGCTTGGAGGCAGGGGGCACTGTGAAAAGTATATACTATTAGGTAGCACTCCACCTAGAGAAGGGGGCACTGGGGGGATGAGGGTGAGAAGCATTTTTTGTTTTGCTGAATGCTGCTGAATGATGTTGGCGAAAAAAGTTTCTAATAAAAACTCCCCGAAAAAAGGGACCAGCAGCAGGACAAGGACAAGGACAAGGGCTCGCCCAGAGAGTCCCCACTAATACAGCGTACAGACGCCTTTCCTTCCAAAGGGTTGACCCCGCAAATGCGGGGGGTTGGGGGGTTGGGGGGTTGGGGTGCGGTCCCCTCATTACACAACGCAAATATCGTGTTCACTGTACACTGTACACTGTACACATTCGCAAGTGAGCGAATATGAATATGCAAATAGAGCGCTGTCTCTGCGGGCGTTTGTCTAAGCAGCAGACAGCAGACAGGCGGTAAGTGGGCGGGAGACTACAGTTAGAAACCCCTAACGACACTGCAGCCGCCTGCCTGCATCCCTTAAGGCATTGCACACACACACACATGCAAGGGCACACTTCTTGTGCGGAACCCCCAGCTGTGAGTCCCCCGCCTTGGAGCCTGGTTATCGCATCGCTATCGGTAGCGCCTCGTCTCCTGAGTTCCCTCCCCTGGCTCCGCAACTTGTGTAGTTCAAGTGCAGTTGAGCACCCGGCCCACACCAACTAGATGCAGCCGCCCCTAAGCGCGACACATGTACAAGTGCGGGAATACAACGGGCACAGGAGGCGGGACGAGCACGGTAAGAAAGAGCGGAGGACAAAGGCCAGAGGACGAAACAAAAGACGCCACCCGTCCCAGATGCGGGCCTCCCATCTCCCATTTCCCATCTGCAATCTCCGGCTCACCGGCTTCATTTCACTTTCCGTGCTTTGGCACACCCTGTCAAGCAATCTGAGACAAGTTTGTTTGGCATTCGCCTTCGCCTCATCCACCCACCGTCCTTCGATCCCCTCGCCCCCCTGGATGCTTCAATAGCGTCTCAAACTTTTCATTTCGTTTCGTTCCGTTTTGCTTTTTGTTTTTTGTTGCATTGACAAATAATTCAGCCATGCTGCAGCTTGACCCCACTCCACACCAACAGCGTTTCAGTCGCCCTAAGTTGCCCGGAGTCGCTGGAGTCGCTGAAGTCGCTGGAGTCGCTGCATCTGGGCGTGTTTGTGTACTTCGACATTCATTAGCAGGCTCCCCAGCCCACTGCCACCATCTAGATGGTGGCACCCCATCCCCGGCTGGCCTATGCAAATTACTTAGGCATATGAGTTTTCTTTTGTTTCCCTCTCTTTGATTTAGCCAGCTTTACTTTACTTACTTTGCGGATGCTGCTGCTTAGTTTTACGTGTGGTCCACTGCAGGCTTCATCTGCTGCTTCTGAGATGCTGTTTGTCCTTGGATGCATAGCATTTGTAAGGGGGGTAAAGTTTTAACAATTTTTTTTCTAAGAGAGCAATATGTCGAGAACATTGCGTAAAAATTTTGAGTCAATTAGAGCCAAACTAACGGAGTTACAGCGTTTTAAACGACCGAATTTCGACGTATTTTGACGTATTAAAAAACTTGAAATCGATTTCCCGAAAACGTTATTTTGAAAGTCGGTGAACAGAAAGAACTCAAAATCTACTTAACCGATCCTTTTCAAACTTTTAACACAAATTCTCCACATAAATACGCAGGTAATCAGGAGGAGTTTATTTAAATTTTTTCTATTTTTAAAAAATAAATTAACAACCATTTTTTAAGCTTCACTTTCAAGTGCTCCCAAAAATACACAAAAAATAAATTTTAAAAAAACTCTTCCTGATTACCTCGGGAAATTCATTATCTTTACAACGAATATCACCTTTTTTTGTAAGATGATCCGTTAACGCCCTGTGATTTTCACCGCAAAACAACTTTTTTGTAAGGCGCTTTGGAAGATTAACAGCCACAGGCTTATTTCTAAATATTTTTTAATTATTTTTTTTTTTCTAATACTCTTCAAAAGTTGAACAATAACATGTAATTAAGCTCAATAAAATAAACTTACTCATTTCGATGCATAAATAGAATTTCCTACATTTGAAAGAATATATATCTCTAAAGGTACATAAAACCTTAATAATTAATAAAACACTCTGCTTGTCCAGGGCGATTAATCTTCGAACGTGGTTTGAGCTGCTCTCGTTGATCGATGGGTAGATGGGTAGATGGGTAGGGAACAGAATGTTCAGGAAACCTGGGTGATTAATAAAAATGATTTCAGTCAATTTTCTCATTTTTGGCAAGGGGTAACATCATAATTTCTTCCGAAAAATGGTACAATTTCAACATTTTTAGGTGTGAATGCCATCGGAATCAGAATTTTGTTACGAATTCATATAAAAACGACTTGACGAATTCATAAAATTAACGAATTTGGTTAACCGTAACCTCGCCTGCTCCCCTCGCATCAATGCCTTACAAATGCACGTCCCATTCGGCATCCGGAAAATCATTCCTTCCCAACACAGGTGGAATCAATTAAATAGCAGCCTTGCTGCCGTGCAGCCGTGCAGGGAGCTCCTAATCGGGCTGCCCAATTTGCCGGCTCCTTGGAGAGGCGTTAACCGCTTCGTTGTTCCTGGAAAAGTGAAACTTCCACACACACTCATCGCGGCAAAAGAGTGGCTCGAGGGAGGAGGGGGAGTGCGACATCGACGAAGGGGGTTGCAGCCAAGGCGTTGCAGCTGTGCCGGCTGAAAAATGGGGTTAAATTGCACAGAAATCACGTGTCACGTATGCCCACTCCTCCCACTCCCACTCCCGCCCACTCGCACTCCCACTCGCACTTTCTCCCTGCCAGTGCCCCCAGGAACCGCATCCGCACAAGAGGCCACGCCAGGAGAGGAGGGGCGAGCAGCCGCTTTGCTTGGGAGCACTTAACACGGCGTCGCCGGCGATGACGACATGCACTTGAGCCTCACAAAGGCCTAACCCATCCCGCATCCGGCATCCCGGCATCCCAGCATCCCAGCATCCCAGCATCCCAGCATCCCAGAATCCCAGCATCCTAGTCCTCCCGCCCCGTGGCAGCGCAAGCAGTTGCACAGTTAGATGCACTGGACAGCCACGAGACAAAATGAAAGCGAAGCGAGACGAGACGGATCTAACCCTTTGGCGCTGATTCCACCCCCAGCTGAAGCAGCGGAAGGGGGAGGGGAAGCGTTGGAGTGCCGGCTGCGCCGCCCGCTGCGACTGCAGCTGCAGCTGCTGCTGCTGCTGCTGCTGAGACGGCGGCCATGGCTGAGACTGACGCTCAGGCAGAGGCAGAGATTGAGCCTGATTCTGAGGCTGAGGCTGAGGCCGAGGCCGAGACTCTTGTCATGTTGACATAGAATCCTCGGCTGGCCGCGGCTGCAACCACCCGCCACCCTGGCAGGTGAGAACGGGAGGGGAACTCTGCCGCAGGTGGGGGTCTTGCAGGGGGTACAATGTTGCAAGGGGAACAGGGAAGCAGGGAAACAGGGAAACAGGGGAATCTGCAACGAAAGTGAAAAGGTGGTGACTCCTGCCAGGTCGATCTGTCTGTCTGTCTGTGTGAGTGTCTGTCTGTCTGTGTGTGCACCGGGCGGCTCAAGCCGTAGATGGAGCCGGCTGGATCTGCAGCCTGAGTGCACTTTCCTGCACTATTCAAAATGGAACTGGGGTGGCGGTCCTCGGTCCTCGGTCGTCGGTCTTCGGTCGTCTGGGGGTGCCGAGTGGGTTGAAGGACGTACGCGAGGTAACACGTCCGCCCCACAAGGGGTTGGCATTGCCAGGATAACGTGATGCCGTGGTGGCGGCGTTGTGCTGCACTGCGGAGATGCAAAAATTGCGGTCCCACTGGAACTCCCAATGTGAGTGGCAGTGGAAGTGGAAATGGAAATAGGCGTGGGCAAGGTGTGGGCCGAGTGGTGGAGTGGTGGAGGGCCAACCTTAAGACGAGCACATGCACGTTCGGAAAACTCGAGAAAGGAAAAGTGAAAGCCCGCCTTTTCCGTGGGGCGCTTTACGAGAATTCCGCGAGTCGAAAACTGCGGAGCAAAACAGAACAGGATAAACCGGAACACTGCCACAAAAAAATATATGGCCAGTGGCATCTTTATAAAGTTATTGTAACAGCATAATGGTAGTTTACTTTACTTTTAGGTTTTAGATTAACCACATTTATGATTATTATTATTTATTATTTCTAAACGACCAAATGAACAGCTGCTCTGTTTCGATTTTCTTTCAGATGTCAAGCGGTGGTTGCTTTCAGCGATCAGATAAGGATACAGAGGGATCAGAGCGGAATCAACTTGGAATGTCCTTCGACGACTGGACTGGCAAACCAACTTTCAACACCTCGCCCCGCCCACCCTTGCCACCGTATCTGCAAGGGCTCATGTGCGTGGCGTCAAAGTTTTTATTCCTTTATTTCCTTGCTTGGAATTACCGCAAGTGTGCACGTGTTCCGGCCGTGCTCTGTTCGCTCCGCCTTAGTGCAGCAGGAGCAGCATAGGAGGCCGGCCAAGGCGAGGGTGGAGCGGGTGGAGCGGGTGGAGCTGCGACGCCGTTAAATTTTAATGCGCCCGTATCGATATGCGTGTAGGAATCGCGCCAGCGGAATCTTTAAAGGACGAACTCGCGTGTCGCCATCCGGCGAATCCCTCTCACGAAAACGTCGCCCCGCCCATGAATATCCCATGAGCTCACGCACTCGAACTGCTCGTATTTTGCATAAATTCGCAATGTCACGACCTCTAATCAATACCGCCAAATGTTGATTCAAGCCGGGCAGGCCTTGCGATCTGAGGCGCCGCAAATGATGTTTAGCTGCGTGGACCGCTTCTCCAGGCCAGACCGCTTGAGCAGGTTCCTCACCAGCGAGGTGGTGGCGTTCGTGTCCTCCACGATGATCCAGTGCAGGTGCGGCATCAGCATAAACAGGTGTGACAATCTGCAATTCAGTTGGGTTAGAAGCGTTTTAGCAACTAGAGGGTAATCCACCTGGTCAGCTCCGCTTTCTGGGCGGGCCGTGGGTACGTCGGCGTTACGGCGTAGATCGTGGGTAACGTGTCCGCCTGGACAAACATGGCCTGCAGGTACTCTGGACCCTGGCAGGTGCGCTTCCGGTGCACCATCATCAGCACCACCAGGAAGACGATGAGCAGCACGAGGACTTGGCGCGGGCGAATGCGGACCTCCGACATCATGAGGCAGTTAAAAACTGTAATTTGTTTAAACAAACAAACGGGCACCTCAACGGCAGCCACTGCCTAAAATATTTAAAAAGCAATTCGCCGCTGTTAGCTATAAGTTACTGTTGTATACAACCAAGCTTTGAAACTGGACTAATTATACTTACTTGACACGTTAAGGTTAAAAGGAGTAATTAGTTTCTACAAATTAGGTTGATTTTGTAGACGACAATACAAACTAAATAAAATGATTTTTGTTTGTTTTATTGGGGGTTATCATGGCAAATCTGGAAGATTTTCAAATTTTAGACACCAGGCGAACAAATAAAAGTTGGCTATGGTTTTTGGATTTTTTTGCCACTTTCTAGGCATTTCTGTTCGCCTGGTATTTGGTTTTAAGAATTTGGCAATTTGGCAGTTAAATGGACAAAAATTCTTTTTTTTTTTTCGATATTTATTATTGTCGCCGGAATCGTTCAGGACCATCTGAGCATAACCGGGCGTTTAGAAGATGGGGTAGGTATGGTACATATGGGATATGGACCTGGGCTATGGTATATACAATTATTTACAACTATTTACAATGTTAATTTACAATACGCGAAGACAGATCGCTGGGGTGGAATCTTTTTAGGCGTCTGAGGGTTTGCGGGTCGGCCAGCCTGCCTGCCAGTGGATTTGGGTGGCTCGTTAGCCTATCCGAGTAACGCCGGCTGTGTTGGTTTAGGAGGTCGCCCACAGGAACAAGGCGTAGGTCGTTTTGGACGGCCTGGTTTGTCACATACCAGGGAAGTCCCGATGCCCGTCGAGCAGCACGTGCCTGCACTACCCTCAGCCTGTTTAGCTGGTGCTTGGATGCGGTGCCCCATACTTCGATTGCATACGTCCATGTTGGCGTAAGGATTGCTTTGATGAGCAGAACTTTCTCCGTGAGCTGGAGGCTTTTGGAGCTCAGCAGCCAATCGAGCTATTGGAGTTTGCGAACGCATTTGGCTTTGATCGCCGTGATGTGGCTTTTCTAGTTTCCAGAACTATACTTTGTTTGGCTGCAAGTTGTTTCTTGCCCAAATAACAGACAAATTACCAATGGAAAAAGTTTTTTTTTTGCCCAAAACTACAAAAAATGGCTACAAAAAAACGCAGTTTTATTGGAATATCTGAGAAAGTACTCTCCCAAATGTGGAGTGCCATACTTCGTTGAATTCGCAATAAAATTTCCTATCCGTTGGTATAAACACCCAAAAAAGTTGAAATTTTGCCATTTTTCGCAAAAAATGACGATGTTACCCCTTATGAAAATTGCAAAAATTGGCCAAAAATCATTTTTTTTGAATCGTCCAAAAAGTGATTGGGCTCGTTAACTGTGGTCATAAGGTGCTCAAAACAGTGTTTGGTTCCGCTGTAAGTCACTTTTTGGCCCTATTACAACCAAAAAACCACTAAAAAGAGAGGATTTTCTACCAAAATTGTCAACTGATCATTTCCAAATTGGTTTTTATCAACTAACTAAAAGATGGCAATAAAATGGCTTTCAATCAAAAAGATTGTACGGCTTCTCTGGTTTCTAACACTATACTTTGTTCAGCTGTAAGTCGTTTCTTTCCCAAACAACACACAAAAATCATTTTAGAATATGCATAATATCATTAAAAATAACTTTGTTATTTAAAATAAAAATTGTCTCAGGGGAAAATAAATCGTATGTACAGTACCGTAATTCCAAACGATTTCGTTTTAATTTCGGTTTTGTTGGATAAATAAATGTATCACTATTATTGTTAACAATTTTATTAGCCCTTAGCAGGAGGCACACAAGGGAAACAGGTTTTTAGATTTTCCGTTGAAGTATATGATTGGAGTATAATGTGTAATAATAACATAAAATAATAATAAGATATATACTTACATAAGTAATTTATTTATAATAATACAAATCATAATATAAGAATAAAAGAATTTGACCTTTTTTAATATATTAAATATTTTCTTTCTTTTAGGATTCATCGATCAACGAGGGCAGCTGAAACACGGAAGGACATGACAAAGCTTCGGGCCAGATTATTCGAGGAGGAGGTCGGCGATTCAATATACTATAATAAGATACAATAAACTATAATAAGACTATTAACATAAGAAACAGAATTATTATTTATTTAGAAGTCGCATTATTAAAGATTATAAAAACTAACAAATGAAGTTCTTGATTTTTGGGCTGTGGGGGATGTTTGGACAACCAAATTGGTCGATTCTGGAAACCAGGTACCAGGCGAACAGAAACGCCTAGCAGGTGGATATCGAATTTTTTTTTATAACAGCGATCTTCCGTCAGTATGCAATCAGTAGCAGAGATCTTCTGTCAGTAAACAATTGTATATCAGCGATCTTATATCAGTAGCAGAAATCTTCTGTCAGTAAGCAATTAGTAGCATAGAGCTTCTGTCAGTGAGCAATTTTTCCAAAAATTTTGTCCATTTCCACCTACTAATGGATTCTGTTCGCCTGGTACCTAAAAGTGGATTTTCCAATTTGTCCCTTCGAATTCGTTCCGCCAATACCAACATATTCAACCAAACCTCATTTTGAAGTACCAGGCGAACAGAATGCAATAGTAGGTGGTTACTCTTTTTTTTAATATTTTCAAATTGCCCGCAAAAGTATGCTATAAAAAATAAGCAAGAGCATCAACACGTTTTGTGTACGAGCCCCCATAACTATTCTACAAATTTTAAAGCCCCCTAAGATATGCAACATTTCTTATTAAATTAATGTATTTTTTATTCGAGTTTCAAACCCAGTATTACCAGTGATGCCCATCACAAAATCCCCGTATTTTTCGTAGATCATGCATAGTCAAGTTTCGAACCACGATATTTGATGCCATCCACAGATGAGAATTGTTGCATATCTTAGGGGGCTGCTTTTTTGATTTCGGATTTTGTAGTCACTTGCTGGGCATTTCTGTTCGCCTGGTATTTCGTTTTCAGAAATTGCCAATTTGGTTGTCCAAATGGACAGAATCAGACGTGATGATTTAGATTAAATCGAAATACACCTGTTACACGTTTCTTTTTAGTTGGTGTCTAAAAAATTCCCCGCACGCCTCTCACATTAAAACAGTCAATAATTTCATTAGTTAGTTTTTATTATCTTTAAAATTTCGATTTCTAAATAAATAATAAGTTCGTTTCTTATGTTGATAATCTTATTATAGTTTATTGTATCTTATTATAGTATATTGAATCGCCGACCTCCTCCTCGAATAATCTGGCCCGAAGCTTTGCCATGTCCTTCCGTGTTTCAGCTGCCCTCGTTGATCGATGAATCCTAAAAGAAAGAAAATATTTAATATAGTAAAAAAGGTCAAATTCTTTTTATTCTTATATTATGATTTGTATTATTATAAATAAATTACTTATGTAAGTATATATCTTATTATTATTTTATGTTATTATTACACATTATACTCCAATCATATACTTCAACGGAAAATCTAAAAACCTGTTTCCCTTGTGTGCCTCCTGCTAAGGGCTAATAAAATTGTTAACAATAATAGTGATACATTTATTTATCCAACAAAACCGAAATTAAAACGAAATCGTTTGGAATTACGGTACTGTACATACGATTTATTTTCCCCTGAGACAATTTTTATTTTAAATAACAAAGTTATTTTTAATGATATTATGCAATTTTTTTCATATTCTAAAATGATTTTTGTGTGTTGTTTGGGAAAGAAACGACTTACAGCTGAACAAAGTATAGTGTTAGAAACCAGAGAAGCCGTACAATCTTTTTGATTGAAAGCCATTTTATTGCCATCTTTTAGTTAGTTGATAAAAACCAATTTGGAAATGATCAGTTGACAATTTTGGTAGAAAATCCTCTCTTTTTAGTGGTTTTTTGGTTGTAATAGGGCCAAAAAGTGACTTACAGCGGAACCAAACACTGTTTTGAGCACCTTATGACCACAGTTAACGAGCCCAATCACTTTTTGGACGATTCAAAAAAAATGATTTTTGGCCAATTTTTGCAATTTTCATAAGGGGTAACATCGTCATTTTTTGCGAAAAATGGCAAAATTTCAACTTTTTTGGGTGTTTATACCAACGGATAGGAAATTTTATTGCGAATTCAACGAAGTATGCCACTCCACATTTGGGAGAGTACTTTCTCAGATATTCCAATAAAACTGCGTTTTTTTGTAGCCATTTTTTGTAGTTTTGGGCAAAAAAAAAACTTTATCCATTGGTAATTTGTCTGTTATTTGGGCAAGAAACAACTTACAGCCAAACAAAGTATAGTTTTGGAAACTAGAAAAGCCCAACTATTCATGCCACCGAATGCAATTTAATTGTTATAGTTAATTGATTCTTTAGTTAGTTCATAAAAACTGATTTGGGAAAGATCAGTTGACAATTCCGGTAGAAAACACTATATTTTGAGTGGTTTTTTGGTTGCAATAAGGCCAAAAAGTGACTTACAGCGGAACCAAACACTGTTTTAAGCACCTTATGACCACAGTTAACGAGCCCACGCACTTTTTGGACGATTCAAAAAAAATGATTTTTGGCCAATTTTTGCAATTTTCATAAGGGGTAACATCGTCATTTTTTGCGAAAAATTTTCTCAGATATTCCAAAAAAACTGGGTTTTAAACTAAACAACTTACATCGAGCTGCCTTGCTATTGGTTGACCAATAGGAAAGTAGCACATATTTTTCATGGTATTCGGCGTCGTCAAACCATCCCAATCGATTTCTGACACCAGGCCAACATAATCAATAGCAGGCTGCAGCTGGTTAATTTGAGTTAACTCAAATAACGGTTCTTTTTTAAGATAACTGTCCTTGGGACGCTTCCCCTCACCGTGTTCCACCAATCAGAAGCCATCTCGCTGGAAAGAACCGTTACTTAAAAGTGGCATCAAGCGTTGATCAGCTGATCGTTTTCCACTTTCTAATCGGTTATGTTTGCCTGGTGTTTCAATTCAGTTCGTCACAATTTTCTAGCAGAAATTGTTGTTGTTTTATACAAAGTAGCGCTTCTGCACAGTCACTTACTTCAAAGTTATGTTTTCCTGGTGTTTGGTTTCCCAAAAACCGCTGATGTTGCTACCCAAATCGATTTCTGACACCAGGCCAACATAATCAATAGCAGGCTGCAGCTGGTAAAACTGAATTGACACCAGGCCAACATAATCAATAGCAGGCTGCAGCTGGTTAATTTGAAATAACTCAAATAACGGTTCTTATTTAAAATAACTGCCCTTGGCACACTTCCCCTCACTGTTTCCACCAATCAGAACGCCGTCTCACTTGAAAGAACCGTTATTTCAAAGTAAACACCAGATCAGAGATGCGAAACCACGCTGATTCTTTGTGCGTGTCACGAAATAGCACGCCGTGCACAAGTAATTAATTAATTTCCATGTGGTTGTTGTTGGCGTGACAAGAATAATTTGTCACGCGCTCAACACTGAACAAGCCAATTTTAAGCTGATCAGCTGATCGATTTTCACCTGCTAAGCGGTTATGTTGGCCTGGTGTTTGAAATTGATTTCTATACATTTTGCTTGTGGAAAATGTAGATGATTTTATACAAACGAGCGGTGCTGGGAGTTTACATACATATGTATGTATACTTAGCATTTACAGGCAAGGAATGCACCAAATGATCCCCTTGTTTTGACAGGATCTTGGCCAGGCTCGCCAACTGTGTGGAGTAACGTGAGCTTTACGAGATTCCCAACGGTGTGCCGGGCGTCTTGCTTCTCCTTATAACATAACCGGATTGGCTGGCGGCAAAAAAAAAGCTGCAGGATTATGATACTAAAATTAGATAAGAAAATGTGTTAAAAAGTGTCCCTACTGATCCTTTAAAGCTTTCTCTGTTGAGCTTTGGGTTGTGTCCCCAAAATAATGCTTTAAGTTCTCCCCAACGTTTCGTTGTTGCATTCAAGCTCTCATTAAAGCTCAAAGCACATCCTCAGAACAGAAGGACATGCGCTTTGGTATGTTTTTTAGAAAAGGGTTCCAAGTTTATTTATTTATATTCATGTTGTGTGGATTGTCCAGCCATCCTGGACAGGGTATTAAGAGAGATCCGGTCCCGTCCCAGATGCAGCTGCAATCTGGGCGGTTCGGTTTGCTCACCGTCTACAGGGTTCAGAGTGGGTACATGGTGTGTAAAGTGGGAGTGAGTAAATTCTTTTGGGGTTACAGTAGGGTGTTGTATTATCTTATTATGGATAGAGTTATCTGAATCTTATCGGTGTTGGTTGCCGTGTCTGTAACCTTGCCTTTTCTTTCTATTGCTAAGCGCCGGAAACTGCATCCGGCATTATCGGGCTCTCTGCGGTTTTACCACTTGCTAGTGTAAAGGTTCTCCGCCGAAATAATCCACATAAGCATAAGTTATTCTCTATATAATTCCGCACTGCACCTGCCGTGCGCGTAAAATAAGTCAAAATGGATACAAAATGGGTACGAGTAGGTGGCGACGTTTTGGATCATTATAAATTTTCGTGTATAAATTAGTAACTATTTAAAATTATATACATTCATGTACTTATCGTATTATAGATATCATGCCTGTCTGTACAAAACGTCGCCGGATAGGTTTTTTTTTCTTAACACTTTTCATTTCACATGTCTCCTCACTATCAGTTTTCATGTATGTATTTCTTTTGAGTGCAAATTCACATAAATTCAGTCGTGATTCAATTGATTTCCTAAAGTTGATATCTTTCCTTTGCTTGTTTTACTTAAATAAAGCTCAATGTACCGGGCCTACACACAAAACGGAACACACACATGATCGTATTAAACAACCGCACAACTGGGCAGCAATGCGGCCAAATTCCGGGGAGGCGGATGCGGATGCACAGGACCTGTGCGACTCCAGCTTGGGTATTCGGACACGTAAATGCAGCTCGAACCTAGTGTTTGGTACTCTGTTAGTTAGTTGCTTAACCAAGGGAATCGCGACTGTTCCAGCGAAGTGTCCGCTGCGTCGTCAGGGTCGTTATTGTAAGCACGATAAAAACTACTAAGACTAACCCTACAAACTCCCGCTAAATGTGTATATCCCTAGCTTATTGAGTGCCCCAGCAGCCCAGCAACTGTGCTGTCTGTTCGGTTGTCTTCTAACTGGTTTGCGCGTGCCTCCATAAGCGAAGCTAAAGCTTGAAGCTGAGGCTGAAACAGCCACATGGCTATGGGGCGCAACAAAGTAGGGACTAGTCTCGCAAAGTCTGGGTCTATCTGGTTTACTACAAGTTGAACACATGCACGCCCGCACACACTCCGTAATGTAGCGCTGCTGTGCCGCACTGTCCTACAGTACTGCAGTAAGCCAGCGCACAACGGCCGCGAAGGCGAGAATCGCAGTGGTACCTGTTAACTTTGTCTCGAATGCAAATAAAGCGTAGTCTCCCTGCGGTCTCTGCCTGGGTGATTCCAGCTGATCTTGGTGGGTGATCTGTGACTTGTGGCTGTGATTTGTGGCTCTGATCTGTTCTGATCTGATCTTATCTCGTGTGGTGTATCCAGTGTGCTGTGTAGTGGGTGACTGATCTGATCTAATGTGCAGTGGCTGGCTGATGTGGCTGTGGCTGTGGCTTTCCTTGACTGCATCCAATTGGTGTTGGGTCGATGTGGCTGTGGTGTTTCTGATTGGGAATGAGTTGCTTGTTGTAGGTTAATGACGGGGTGTTCGGTTTCAGTATTCAGGGATTTCGTGTGAATATATCGCTCGTTTAAATTCCAAGACTGCAATTAAACAGAGAGAGACAGAGAGCATCAGTCAGAGACAAGAAATGAGGTTCTACGAAACCCTATGTACAAGTATATACTTTACATCTAAAATATTGTGCGCTGCAAAAAAAGCGCAGTGGACAAAGGGTCCACTGTCCGTTTCGCTTTTACAAAAAGAATACGTATGTCGGACCTTCGAATTGTTGTCAAACGCTCGGCAATGTTTTCTAATGGTCACAAGACCGCGCACAATGAGCACCAAATGGTAACAGCACACCCAAAATAAAAAAGGGGGATGGGGAAGCGAAAAAGAGCGAGAGGGCACGTTACTGGCGGCTCTGTGGATTGCTTACATTCGCGATCCCTTCTGCTGCAGGACCTTAGCCCGGTCGTTGAGCTCCAGCTCTCGACCGGCCGTCGTGCCGCACTCCTTGGAGACCACGCACAGGAACTCATTGTTTTCGAAGGGCCCGTAGTTGCTGTACTGCATACTGATCAGCTGCTCGAACCGCCAGCCATCCGACAGAGTTGAGATCATCTGCGCAGGGAGAGACAAGGGCTTGGATTAGAGGTGGCTCCTACGATCCGCTGGCTCAAGGACTCACCTGGGTCAGCTCCTGCTCGCGGCACTGCAGCACACGGTACACGCGCTTCTTGTCCGCATGCGGTCGCTGAAAAAGTTATAAGTTGGGGATTAGTCCGGCAGTACGAAATGGATACGAAACGGCTCTAACCTGGTCCCTGTGCAGGATGCACTCCTTCAGCAGCGCTATCAGCTGTGTCACGTTGTAGAACTCAGCCTCCTCCAGCACACCTTCCTCAGAGACGCCATCGAGCACCAGCTTGCCGTGGCGCAGATAATTAAGCACGGGTGCAAAGTATTTGGGGTCTCTGTCGATCAAGTAGGCGCCTGTCTCGTCCTGCAAATGAACGGAAAACGGCATTAGTCTCTGCATTTGGAGCGCATCAGTCCCGGGGGATGCGAGGTGTCATTAGCAGTTCCTGTGCCCGACATTGACTTTGACTTTGAGGCTTCCTCGCTGCACATGCAACTGCTTGCGTGAGCATCTGTCCGTCTGTCCGTCAGTCCGTCTGTCTGACTGGCAGCCTGCCGCAACGACAAGCACACAACCCCACCTGCAATTCTCTGCCATTTAGCAAGTGAACGGCAAACTGCTGCTGGCGCTGAATGATGGCGCCCATTGTTGCCGCCGTTCATCAGCGAGGGGCTTTTTATTCGAGCTACAGGCTGTTTAAGCGCCCGTTTAGGCAAGGTAACTGGCAACTGCTGGGGGTGGCTGCCTTAATTGGCGGGCGTGTGGGGGCAGGCAGTGAGCACGGAATTTAATCAATAGCAAAAGGCGCGGGCCGCGCTATAACAACACTGCCGCTCAGGCAGGCACACAACGAGTGCGAGTGCAAAACTTTTTATTAAAAACTATTCGGGCATCGACGGCCGGAAAAGGGTTGGCAAGGGGGCTGCCGTCGATATTGTTTACACAAAGCGAAAAAGGCAAAGCGCTTGTGTGCCTCTGAAATTTCTAGCTGCTAGCTCGCAGCGGATTTATGGCTGCGGAGCCAGCAAAATGTTTGTTTGTCGACTGGCCAAGTTCGCTTTGTGATTATGGTATTCGATGATTACTTGGCCTGCCCCGATTTTCAGGGGGGGCGACCTTCTGGCCGCCCATTTGACAGCCCAAGGACTCGGCCCAGCAGCAAAATCAGGGCCTGTCACGGCAAACTAGAACACTCTACTGCAGCTGCAGTTAATGTAGAACGCTCTCTCACGCTCTCAGGGCTTTTCGCTTTTTGCTCTTTGTTCCTGGCGCCTGGCGCCTGGCCCCCGGACCCCTGGCATAACACTCCGCCAGCCCACGAAAAGCTGCTTTCGCTGCATGACCTGCATTGGGTCATGAACGGAGCACTCTTTTGGTGTTGGGCTTATTACTATAATTACGGAAGGGGTGGGGGAGCAGCACTCACCCGATCCGATATTAAGTCGCAGTCCTCCTGAATTAGGCGGGAGAGAAAGGAATTTGGGTCACGGGAGAGCGTCGTCTTGGTGGTGAGGAAGTAGGTGCCACCCACATTAAGCTTGACCCACTGGTCGGTGCCCTGCTTTTTTAGCACATTGGGGCTCTTGCGCGAGTTGATAAACACGGTGCTCATGGCGCTGCCGGGGTGCTCCGCTAGTTGGGATGCTGTTGGCTCCGCTGCTTCTGCGGAGAAGACGCCGTCCTGGTCAAGTGGTTCCTGGTTCCGTCCCTCTGGTGGGTGGATATGGCTGTGGAGTGGAGGGGGTTGTTCGGCTGTTCCTCTGGGCGCTCTTTTTGTGCACCAATTTCCCCTCTGGCCTATGTTTCGCTTGCAATGGAAATCGTATTCTCAGCCTCAGCTCATGCTTTTTCTCTTGCTCGCGTGTTTGTTGCGTTGCTTTGCGCCTGGATGTCTGGCCTCTGCCTTTGCCTCTGTCGCTACTGCTCCGCTGCTCGTGGTCGCGTGGTCTGCTGCCTTTCCGCTGTGGGTCACTCACGGTGCGCCGTTTTCGCTGTTTTCGGACTTTTTTTTTAGTTAACTAGGAAAATGTAATGCACAATAGAATAGAGATGAAACGAAAATCGATGTTTTGTCGATGACGCTGTTTCCGATGCTGCAGTCGCAACTATCGATAGTTGGGAGCAAAATATGGTCACGCTGACATCGGCGAATGTTTAATTTTCGAAGAACTTGTGAAAAAATGCATTGCCACCAACAAACTCGCTTTTCTTTTAATTCTCCTTTAAACTCTCTTTTATTTTTTTGGTAAAATACCAATCCGAGCCTGGACGATAACAGCGCGCGCAGATAGTTAGCATCGCGTGACAAAAGCTCACTGCTGCAGGAATAAATACTCGGGCGCCAAGTTTAAATTTGAAACGACGGTTATATTTTTATATATTTATCTGCGGTGGTAAATCATACACCTTTCATTTGAAGGTAGATCTTGTTGTGCAGCACTCTCAGTTAGTGCGTGGCTTTTAGACAGAGCGGACGATCATGGCTATTCCGACAACATTTTTGCTGCTTCTGCTAGCCTGTGCCGGCGTCACCGCCGTGCCAATGCTCTACAAACTTAATCCCGAAGAAGTATACGAGCCAGGTGGGTGCTCTGTAAGGTGACTTAACCATCACTCAGGCCTTTTTCTGCAGACCTGGTGGCCGTCTCGTCCACCGTGATTCCGCTGACCGTGCTGGAGGTGAGCTATGGAGCAGGTGGGAAGCCAAGCGAGGAGTACAAGGCGGCCTACCTCCGCAAACTGCGCAAACAGGTGCTCCAGCGCGCGGACAAGGGCAAACCAAACGACGAGGAAGAGGAGGCGCCCACTATCCTGGGCCTGTCCGACTCCACGGCCCTGGTTTCCGCTCCCGCCGATGCAGACGCTCTGATAACAGGTCGGTTGCACTCGATCCCCCACTCAAGCCAATCCAACCTTCCCGATCCCTTCCAGTCAAGTCGCAGCAGCTCGAGAGGGCCAAAGTCAAGGCCGCGTAAGCCACGCAGGTGGACCGAAGTGGAGTAACGTGCTGGTCTTCGCGCTGATGTCATGGCGTGCTTCGAATAAACAAAAGCCAACCGAATCGCAGCAAATCTTGTTTTGGCTTTGGCCTTTTTGGGTGTTTGTGGGCGTGACGGATGACGCAGCTCCGTTGCGGACCAAAGAGCCAAGGGAAGCGACAAAAAGGGAGTCGCAAAGTTGGCAGGAAGATGCCCGAAACGGAAGGATGTCTGTTGTAAACGAATTCGAATCAAATCTAATGAGGCTCCCGCTCCCAATTCGATTTGGATGACGACAGTAATGCGATAACCTCCTCAGCTGCTGGGGGACATTAGCAGCAGGTTCAAGTAGTTTCGCCCTTGCTCAGAGGTTTAAAAATCAGAGCAGCAAAAGAAATAACCGCTCAAAGCGGAGCACAAAGCAAAACGAGGCATCAAAAAGCCAGCAAGGGGCTGCCCGTGAGGAGCAGTGGGCATTGGGAATGGGAGGATGGGAGGAGGGGGGATGGGAGGATAGGAGGATAGCTTGGGTGTGCGTGCTTTTGAGGCCAGTTAGTCAACTTCTCCGCCCGCCGTCCTCCACTGCGCCTTTCTTTTGCCTTTCCAGGACTCAGTTGGACTTTGCTGCTCGGCTCCCTGTCCAAACGCCAGCTGACAGGAGTATCGGACTGCTCTCTTTCTTGCTGCCACTTGCTATCTTTGAGCCCCTCCTGCTTTGTGCCGAGCCGTCAATGCGGCTGTCATGGACAAGTCACAAGTTGCATGGCCGCAGAGCAACATGTCACTTGCAGCCAGCGACTGCGGCGAAATGTGCCTGCCACCCACGCCCACACACACACACACCCGTCATAAAACCTTCCACCAGCACGCAAAGCGACACGGCTGATTAAGCGGAATGAAAAGCTGATGGCAGGTAACTATTTTCGCTATACGTATACTCATGTATGTGCATTCGCCTCCGGCACGTATTAATTTAAATACAAAGGCAGGGCGGGCGGCCAGATGCTGGGTTGAGCCGACGGAGGAGATGAAGTCTGTCATGTTTGCACCAAGTTTACGGGGATTTAACAGGAGAAGCAGGTCTCCGCCCCGCCCCCCCGCCGCCTCTTCTCGCAATTGGCATGGGCGCTAAAATGTAAAATGTAAATGTAAACTACACGTAAACGATGTTGTCACTGTCTCGCCCACTGCACTACGCCCACTCGACTCTTGGCAAGCACTCTCCACTTGCCGCGGTGTTGGTTTCATCGGTGCTGCCGCAGTTATTGCTGTTCGATCTGCACATTTTATGCTCCACTTACCACAATCGACGGTGGCAGGCCCCTCGATCGTCTTCTCAGCAGCGCAGCACTGGAGCACCTGAACCAATTAATAGCTGCGCCTATTCAATACCAAATGGTAATATCGCGTATACGCCCACGCGCCCATTCGCATGTGTGTCGCCAGAGTGCTGGTGGTGTGGTTGTTGTTGCCGACGATGGTGCTTCATCGCAGTGGAGCGGTGGTCTTGTTGTTGCTGATTGTTGTCAGGGACAGATGCCATCAAATCGCATGTCAAGTCGAATGACGTGTGAAGTAATCGTTTGCGCGCTGCCTCTTTTAATTTACGGCACAGAGAACGCTTCTGACAGGTGACGCGAGGAATGGTGGCTAACTCGTCGAAGGCCAATTCACAAATATCAGTACAAAATAAGAAATCAAGCTGGCTTCGATTTTTGGGTCGATTTTTTCACATTTTTAGGCACCTAATGACCAAAGTTAACGAGCCCAATCACTTTTAGAGCGATTAAAAGAAATCTGGATTTTGGCCAGTTTTCGCATTTTTGATAAGGGGTAACCATCATCATTTTTTGCGAAAAATGGCCAAATTTCAACAATTTTAGGTGTGAATGCCAACGTATGTAGAATTTTATTACGAATTCATTGGTGTATGCCATTCCACATTTGGAGGAGTACTTCCTGAGATATTGCAACAAAACTGGGTTTTCTGAGCAATTTTAAGTAGTTTTGGGAAAACAAACATTTTGCAATGGAAATTTTTCTCTTATTTGGGCAAGAAACAACTCACAGCCACACAAAGTATAGTTTTGAAAACCAGAGAAGCCCAACTCCCACCGAATGTACGTTGATTGCCATTTGAATGGGGTATCTCCTTCACTGCGTTGCAAACTTCTGAGTGAAATTACAAAACCCTCTGCAAGGGTATAATAAGCTACCTGGGATATGGAAAATGATCACCAATCAATAGGCATCATCGAATGCAAAAACTTCCTATGGGGGAGGAATGGTCTGCGAATTTTCGACACAATTCTAATCCAATGCCAGGCTTAACTAGGGAAATTAAATGTCATTAGGAGCCGATTTGTTTTCGTTTGGGTTGGGATTTGTTTTGTTTTTCCAGCAGGGGCGGGGCGGAAGCGTTGGCCTGGGCCTGATGTAATTGCGGATTTGGGTCGCGTGCTGGCGAGCGGCGGATGCAGTTGGTCATCCGCCATCTGCCGCTGGCTTCCATTGCCGTTGCTGTTGCCGCTTCTGTTTGTCCACTGCCCCTCTTTGCACTGCACTTGATGCAGATGGCGAATTTGAGGTGCCCCCCGAGTGTGCAGCGTGGGAATTAATGCAAATAAGTGGGTTAACTTATTTTAGTTTGGGGAAGGAGCTTCAAAGCTCAGATAGAGGGTTCTGGAGGCTTGAGCGGCCTCCAATGATGTGGAAAATTACTCTTAACGTGGTCATCAGAGCTACGCCCTCGTTCCGATTTTCCGATTTTCCAGTACTGCATGTGTTTTGAAATATCTTTTAAATGCTTTGAGCCTTGCCAAACTTTGATGGTCCTCTTTCTAGTTTTCCCTCTTTTTCCCATCGCTCTTAGTGTGTGTGTTTGCTTTGATGGCGCTGGCCGGCGGGAAGGGAAGGGAAGGGAAGGGAGGGAAAAACCCTTCAAACTTCAGATTTCCGACTTCACAGAGATGCCTCGCAGGCAACATTGGCCCAATGAAATCAGCGCCAGGCAAACAAAATTTTACTAAATACACTTTGCCAAATAAACTCGGGCAGACTTGGAGGCTCACGCACACAAACACACACAGGCACACACAGGCACAGTGAGGCGCACACTATGCCGGAAAAAAGGAATAGAATATAATGCAAACGAAATTATAGAGAAGTCAAAGTCAACAGCAGGACCAGCGCAGGAGGTAGGCAGCGGTGGAGGAGTGCTGAAAGGAGCTCCCACCCAGCCCGAAAATCATCGGCTGGCGTAATTAATCGAGTTTTCAATGCGAGCGAATCGTGGTCGCATCCATCAAAGAGCCCGAACATCTCAGGCGGGCGATCGAAGTATCAGCAGTACGGGCCGCACTGACGCGGAAACAGAAGCAGGAGCAGGAGCAGGAGCAGGAGCAGAAACTGGCATCCTGGCAGGGGCATCCAATCATCTATCACAGACAGCTTCCGAATCGCCACCCTCCGCCCGGCTCATTCAAATCTAATCAAGGAATACACGTTGCTATCTTCTTCGGACTATGCGTTTTTACAGGCAATTTATTAATTTGGCAAGTTAGGCACCCTCCGCAGACAGCGACGAAGGCGACTGGTAGCCGTAGGGAGATGGGGAGCGGCAAGGAGCAGGGAGCGGAAAAAAGCCGCAAAGTGTTTACCCGCCGCTTTAGCTTTGGCTTTGGCGAACGGGAACAGGATAAAATCCAAGCCGAAAACCCGAAAACCCGAAAACCTGAAAACCGAGACCAAGCCCAGACGCAGACCGAAGTTGAGGCCGAAAGCCGAAGGCAACTGCCAGCGCTTTAAACACACCCCACGTAATGAGTATCGTGGTTACATTGGAGCAAAACCTATTTTTAAGTTTTCACAAAAAGATCATAGTACATAGTCCCAATAGTAAGCATACGCCCCGTTGTCCAGGCTTACCTTTAAATAACAGTTAATGTTTTAATTCTTAATACATATTTTTTTCTTTATAAGCTTAAGATAAGAAAAGAAAGACCCTTCCCGCTAAGAAAGGATCTCAGAGAGTTTCGAATATACAACTCGTAGGACTAATAGCTCAATTCAAAAATATTACTCATACGACTTGTTAGCCGCATACACAAAAGAATGTCTATTTAATCAAATTGGGGTACACCCCACGGAAACATGAAAAAGGCTTTGTGTTATTTAAAATAGACACCTCTTCGGTCCAGACAACTATTGCCCACTGCCAGCAGGGGCGGAAAGACTGGGACTAGGCTCCATCGCTGCCGCTTGGCTGCGCAGGGAGCAAGCCGCAAAGGATTCAATTAGAGACGTTGTGCGTGTGCCAAAGCCAGAGAAGCATCGCCAGCTTCAGCATTGCAAACAGAACCAGTGTGAGCTTAAACGCACAAAGTGCGCACAATCAAAACAAATCAACACGTGGTTTTTGGCATCCTCTGGAGCAGTTGAACCGTCGAGGTCGAGGCAAAGCCCAGAAGGACTGCCCCTTCCTCGCAGTCCCCTATAACCCAAACATCCACTTGCCTTTGGAGCGGCGCAGACGCAGACGCGGAAGTCAGAAGACGGAGCTCCGGGTGATGCCAGATTTTCGGGGTAAAAGAAAAATCAAATGCAGCACACCAACAGACTATAATTCCCAACTTAGTTCGGTAGAATTTCCCAAAATTTATATTTGTTTGAAATTTTGAATGAATAAAACGAAATATTAGTTGAATTTTAATATTTGAAGCAAATATTATATTTATAATAATTGTTTAAATTTAAAATCTTGATTGAACCCGAAAGGCTGACAAAGTTTGTTTTGTTTTTTTTTATTAAGTTGCTTATCAGTTAACAGGAAAAAGTGGGGTACTTTCTTTGGTATGATGAAGATTTGAAGTTTAATACACTTGCACAAATATAAATAAATTTGTGAAACAAAAAACATGGAAAGTAGGGTTGCACTTTCCACAGTCTGGGTGGCAACCCTGCAGATGGGCTTGGCACGCGGCCAGCATCCAAAAGAGAGTGAGAGAAAGCTCTGTTAGCGAGAACAGGAATATTACGTATACGCTGCAGGAGGGCGTGTTACAAGCCGAAATGAAACGAAATCGAAAC